TATATATATATATATATATATATATATATATATATATATTTTATAATTAGCCGCGGGCCCTCTCCTCGATAAATCAGCGCGCCGCCCAGGCTTAAGACTTAATTAAAAATTTAGTCAAAAACCAATTAGCAGCCACGGCGGATTAACATATTTCTAATTATCTGGCGGACACTTTCGGCCGCCTTATACCACCGGATCGACTACTTGCCATATATGAAGCCGACCTGTCGATGACTGTGCAATCTCACTCGATCGCATCCCTCGCGCGCATTTTTTTCCCGCTCTCTTTATCCCGCCTCAATATGACTCCTTATTTGAGAAGAAGTTGCGCTTGATCAGTTGGATAACTATATTATATGCAAATTGGTTAATCGCGAAAAGTTGGTTAGATGTTTATTGGTAGTGTTGAGCCTTCTCTCTGGGCTTTCCAGAGCAATTATTTAATTAATCATTTGATTGAATTATTATTTAAAAAAATACTAAAAATAAATTTCTTTGTTCTACAACGCAGTCTAACATTTCTTATCTGCACAATAGAGTGAATGCTTCGTCGAGGGTTGAAAGACCGACGAAACGTAAATACTGAAATCTTTTATTTCGCTATAATATACTTCCATGGATAAGTTATCATCTTACATTTATACAAGGCGCATAGGTACGTCTAGAACCACGCCACATTCGTAACGTTAGCTTTTACTGTCTATGAGCGATTCCATTTCTCTCGATTCACGATCGACACAAGCTGATACATAATTTACACGCATTTGCTTGCTCCACCTCCTCTCTCGCATAGAAACAAAATTCAACAAGTTTAAAAGATAACGAGATTAAGTGAATTATGAACTGTACTCTTGACGATGACGAATCACTGGCTTATTTTTTATTTATATTCCTAAACAATATCACCGATGTTTCTATAAAAATATAACTAAAAACTTTTCGCGACCTAAAAGACTTTAAAAAGATAAAAAAGAAAATTTTTGATAAACACGAAGAAACGTGTTTTCCTCGATATTAGGAATTACTTTCAGAGAAATGACTATTACATTTGGCTTTGACGTTGACTCGTTCTTTTCTTAACGCTCTCAGACTCTCGGAATTGTTTAAACGTACCTCGTACATTCACAACGCTGCACTCTCTCGACCAATCCACATTCAAAACACATCCGGAACATTTGTCAGATTCAACGCGGCCCGAATCGTTAAAATTAATTCTCGAACAATCGTTCTTTGCGATTTTCCTCATCTCGAGGGTAATCGAAGCGTCCTGTACACGTGTGTATATATACATACGTACACCCATAGTTACCATACGAACGCGTATTTATTTACACTATGTACACTCGTGCTTTCTCTTGAGATCAAATTTCGCGCACCTCTCGAGGCGCCGATTTATACGTATTTCATTGTCCCAGGAAAATTTCGAAACGATTATTCCTTTTTTGAGTTCCCTTTCAGGTTCCTCGAACGATTGCTTCAGATTTCACGTATCGAAATTCAGGTCATCTCTACACCTCTCTGGAGATAAGCAGTTCAGATTGATGTGTCATTAGTCATTCCTAGTCAATTTCGATTTCCAACGCCAAATAGCGAGTTCCAATATCCTCGACATGTAAAAAGTTGAATTATTAAATTTAGGATAGACTAATAAATAAATGCAGCCAAAAGCTCTCAGATAATTTTCTCTCTTCGCGCGAAAGAAAGATCACTAACGAAAATTAATTTCCATATTTTACAGTGCATTTTACAAATTATTTTATTAGATTTCTTTTTATTTTTCAATTTCTGGAGTTCTCAGAATCTTGAATTCTAAAATTGTTAACTCTTGCTCTCTTGAACATCCAGTTTTCAAATTTTCAATCTCTTTAGCTCTCCGAGTTCTCAAATTTTTCAGTCATCAACTCGAAGATCTTTGCTTTCTCCAGTTCTTAATACTCGGTTAGTTATCCATTATTTTTCTTCAGATTGTTTCCGAAATTTCCAGAGTTTAGATTCTTCTTCGGATCCTTGAATAAACGTTGTTAATTTTCATCTCCATAAATCCTTAGCTTTCAGGTTCTTCCGCTTTCTCACAACTTTCTAGATCTTGCATCATTCCTTAGTGAGGAGCTTGTTGAGTCTTCAAATGATGACATCACGAATGACTTCGAATTACACGCGTATTATACCTTGCATATCATTATTAAGGTCGGTGCCCAGGCGGCCCCATGAACATGGCCGCCGCCGCCGCGGCATGGGTGTGCCTAGCCATGGCAGCTGCAATAAAGGGAGGCACTCCTGGGGTACCAGGCGGGCCCACCCCGGAGAACATTAGCCCCGATCCGAAACTGGGGTGCAGCAGAGGTCGCGCGGATAGTCTTAGCTTCTCTATTTCCGCTTCCTGAAGTCGCTTCGCCTTGGCCCTTCGATTTTGAAACCAGATCTTCACCTGAAACATTACAGCGTTCTCGATTAATACAACGATAACGAAACGGAACGGCTCTATATAAAACTTGTCCGCATGTCGCTTCCTCATTAATTCCTTCATGTTTCCCGTGCGACGATGTGCTTAGCTTGAGAGATGTAATGACATAGACTTTAAACACTTTTATAGCGTCGGCGTTAATACGGAGTCTCATTAGAATCGATGGTAAACTGAAATAACTTTAAACTGAAATATACGAGACATATCGTTGCCAATAATAAGTTGTTACGCATTACGATGATCGTCGCAACATTATTCTACATGCAGCAGTAAAAACTGCAATACAGAAAAAGAATTAGTCTTAAATCAAAACAGATATTCTCATATATAAGCAAGAATATTATAATCTTTTTAAAAATGTTAGTCTTGATTTAAGATTAAATTTACATTGATGTAAATTTATAAGTATTAATTTTGCTCAATTCAGAATTAAAATCTTTTGTATAAAAATATCTTATACTTGCAATATAAATTCAATCAAATCCAAACTAAAATTTTTTCTAGGAAGATCAGAATATTCCTTCTTATAATTAAATATATCTTAAATATAATTCCTTCTTATATGTAAGAATCTATAATCTTGATTTAAGACTAATTTCTTTTTATGAATAGTCAAAGCTAAAAGTAGATCTCAAACAGTCGTAACAACATAATACAAATTTGTAATTTGTGAACAATTTTGTTTTTATATTATTGAAATTATTAAAATTAAGTCTGTAGCATTGAATAATGCGAAAATTCATAGATTCTATCGTTGTACTGCATTATACTGTATGATATACCTGCAAATATTACATGAGTGCCATTATTGGCGTTTAACACTAGTGGCACTAGGAGGTTTGCAATTGGCAAATATTAAATGTTCTATCGCGCAAGCTACTGTAAATACTCGATGACTTGCGATAAATAAAATTACGCAGTAATTTAATAATTAACGCGTCGCTGGAAGACGTGATCGGAAACAAATAAAGATTCTCTGCGTAAAACGTAGTTTACGCGGAGTCATTTAGCACGTTGTTAGACAAAACGACGTTAGCGAAACATCAGCTTCCAACAGGAAATTATCGACGTATCGAGAAATTCTCGATGTCACAAGACAGCGACACGCCTAACGCTCGAGTTACACGAACATGTCGGTTTAACATTAAATCGTATTTAATTGTCGTTTACACAGTCGTTCGCGAATTGCGTCGTTTACGCAGCTGTCACTTTGAATCGATAGTTAATTTGCGGTATTTTCGGCACGAAGATGAGAATACAGAGACTCCAAACTTCCGCATCAGTGGAGCTTTTAATGAGCGTACGTTTTTTTCAACGATATGCGTGAATAGCATAATTATGTGTATACATTCAGCATTCAAGAATATTGCTAAATCGTTTTAGAAAACATCTCAATTTTGACAGATGCTTTTGAATCACTCGTGACAACTCTTGCGTCCAATTATTTTTATGTAAACGACACTGAATCGTCAAAAGTTAATAATTTTTTTTATTTCTACTAACGGGCACGCTAAATAACATTTTTAAAAAGCTGTTTTTTTTTACATTTTTCGAAAGACTAATATCTTAAAAGTATGCTTCTACAAGATTTTGATGAAATTCGAAGCATTTCTCGAATAAGTATTTCTATCTAACGAAAGCATGCGCACCTGGCCAGTTATCCTAAAATGATCTTTAGCATAACTTAAATTCTGCCCAACCCTACGTGTTTAAGCTACAAAAATTCCATTGACTATGTAATCTATTGTGTTCCATCGGCGATAGATTCAATATGGTAAATTCGAATGATAAGTAATTGATACTGAAACTTTAAAATCACTTTCTTTCTTTGTGGTGTTTATAATCAGAATAATTTTTGCTTTTAAGTTTCAAGAATAACTTCACAAAATGAATAATTCCAAGCGTAGGGATTTTTTTTAATTCTTAATAAAAGTTTGTATTTTTTTTCAAACCGTCACTATTTTCTGAAAAAAATTATTTTAAAAAGGCTGCTTAATTGAAATTATTTATATGAAATTACGCTCGTAATTTCGAAATTTTTAAGAACTTTTCATTTCCGATAACAACTTGAGTTTTCTATCTCTGATTCATGTTTTCTGAACACAGAGATCTATAATATTGTGCAATATCACATATATTTATAGTTTCACGTACAAAAATTCTTAAAATATCTTCACAATCTACCCAATCAATGTATCGATCAATTAATATTTTTTCTAAAACACAGTCATTAAAAAAAAAAAGTTTTAAAAACAGCTTTTTTCTGAGCCTTTATTGTAGCATATTCCCTTAAGCTTGAGAATAAAGTCAGGCATATAAAAATTAATACACACAAGCATAATACATAAATAAAGATTAATTCCAGGTCTAAGCATTGAATAAATGCGAAAAGTACCAGCCGTTCATTCTTCTCTTTCGCCTTCAAAAAAAAAAAAATCTCATGATAAGTTACTTCGTATGATCCTAGGGATGGATATCGCCACGGCAAGAGTGTCACGATTTGAATTGTAGACATACCTCTTTGTCCGAGGTGAATAATGAGAGAGGAGAGAGAGCACGATCGAAGGAACGGTTTGGTAACTTGAACGACACGAGGAGATGGCGGGGTAATCGTAGCTTATCTAAGCAAATGAATGCGGCGTAGCTTCATTTCGACTGATGCATTGTAACGAATGCGCAAAGTGTATCTTAGCACGCTAACCGCGCGATAACAGCCTGCCTCTCTGTGACGTACGCAGTAAAGAACCACGACAGTCCGAATAAAGCATAGGCAATATAATATAATAATAATAATAATAATAATAATAATAATAATAATAATAATAATAATGATGATGATGATGATGATGATGATGATATTCATAAGAGATAAGTTTGCAATTAATCATTATCTCGAGCGTGAAGACGTATTAAACATTAATTTGCGATATAGAAGTGGCATTTAAAAGAAAGCTAATAGCATCGATTTATCATCATTTAATGAAATTAATGTGATCATATGCAACATTTATTAATTATCATGCTCGTTAATCGAGGAATGCATCAATGTTTGTTGCAATATCAGCATTAAAGACCAATGTAAATTATTTTTTTTCTTTTACTTAATTTATATTATATTTATCAAACAAGTAAAAATACGTCTTCCTCGTGTATTCAACCATTAAATACGATCAACTTGTTTTAAGCTAATTTACAGCTAAGTTTTTACGTTTCAAGTCTTCAATAAAATTCATGATTTATTAATTTATTTCTTAGCGTACATCCTGAACAAGTTTCACCGAGGCTCGTTACGTAAAATGAGGTTTTTCTTTTAATTCTAAGAGAGTTAATTGCTCTCATGTCGTCCAGAGTCTCACCTGCGTTTCCGTGAGGTGAAGGGACGACGAGAACTCTGCTCTTTCGGCTATCGTTAGGTACTGTTTTTCGCGAAACTTTTTCTCCAGCGATAACAGCTGCTGCGTCGTGAACGGCGTTCTCGGCTTCCGGTTTGGCTTGTGCTTTCTGAGGGTGCATCGGACCGGGCCTGGTCCGGGTCCCGGCAATCTTAAGTCTCCTGAAAGCAAAGAGAAAACGTGCGTTCTGATTAGAGCTTAGACTTCCCATCCCTTTTGCGTGAATAATCTTGTATAAATAAATCCGGGATATTAAGTAAACTACCTAAGTAATTTACTTCATATATTTCAGATGCAATATTCAAGTGGAAGTTGTTACAAAACGTTGTTACAAAACGTACTTGGAAATACATCTGATTATCAGTAAAGGACGTGAGATTTCTATTAGAAAATTACTTAGTATCATTTTGTATCGTCGATTTTGCCTATTTTCATGTCGAATTAATCCGAACCGCTATTCCTCTTTGCGCCCAAAAGGAGAAGAGATAAATTAAAAGAGAATTATTCTGCTGAATTACTATTCTGCTATCTGCATCATGAGAGTAAGAGAGCGAGAGAGAGAGAGAGAGAGAGAGAGAGAGAGAGAGAGAGAATAAGTATAGTTCGGTTACGTTTAGTTTAGTTACTTACGTAACTTAAACTTAAACCTACCCGTCCTCGTCGACCTACCTCAGTACGAATAGTAACTTAACTTACCGTCGTCTGGTCGTAACCGTTAACGGTTTAGTTACCGGTTTTAAACGTTACCGGAACGGGTCCCGACCGTAACGGTAAGGTTAGGAACGGAACGGTACCGGTTCGGAACGTAAGGTACGTTTGTTTACAAGTTTCGGTTCCAAGTAGAGTAGGAGTACGGTAAGGTTAAGGGGTATTAGGGGGGGGTAGAGTAGAGAAGAGAGAGAGAGAGAGAGAGAGAGAGAGAGAGAGAGAGAGAGAGAGAGAGAGAGAGAGACGGAGATAGTATGTGCGCAAATTAAATCATAAAAAATAAATCGCGCTCGAATGCGAGCGGCGAACGGCGCCTAATTATCGACCCATCATCCCGGTCTCGTGCATCCGGTGTGCATGATTATCATCGACCGTCGTTGTTTACGATCGGCTCATATGCGTGCAATTAGTTGGTTACTGCGTAAAGTTTTGCCACCTCTTCACGGTAGCATGATTATATCGGCGTCATTCGCCGTAACTTGTCATTCGTTCGTAAATCCATTTTACCACTGATCACTTCGTTAAGAGTCACTTAAAAATAAAAAACAATTGTGAAAAATAACATATCCCCGTATGAGATAGAAATATATGTATGTATATATATATATAGCGAGAACTTGCGATAATGCGCAACGTTTTTATATTAGACCACATTAATTAATATCCGACGTGAGAGACGAGTATTCTTGAAGCTACAAGCACAAGAGACCAAATGAGGTATTGACACCTCTTAAAAATCGCAATCGGGCATGCCGATAACTCCTCTCATCGCGCGCGCATTCTACAATTAGACATATTATTTCCCTTATAACACACGCCGCACTATCTAGCGCCGCGTTCGAAATAAGCGCGACTCGTGCGAGGAGAGGAAGAGTAATTGATATCTGGCCGGCCCTTCGTCGGCCAGATGCGAGATTAATATCGCTCGCGACTCTGTACGGCTGCACGGTTCGCGTCGTGAAAAAGTATTTTCGATATTCGGCCCGACGAGACGATAACGATTTCGCGGCGACGCGACGCGACGCGACGCGACGCGACGCGACGCGCGCATGGATTCCGAGCGCTAATTAACGTTCGACCGGCTACAAAAAAGGTATGGACCGCCGACATTGTCAAGTGGATCAGCCGAGACAACCGGTATCGCGTTTTCCATTCTTGTACCGCCCGCCAATTGCCCGTTTCGTGCGTCGCTTGGGGAAGCCCGGCGGATTCACGCACGTGAACTGATCAATATGTTCCCCCGGGAGGCTAATTAATTTCTGCTAATTAAATGCCTGTCCGGGCGAATCCAAAGTCGCGGATCTACCACCACACCGCTTTCTTTCGCGTTTAAGGATAAGGAGTCTATGTCGTGTGTAGCCATATGTGGGTCGTGACAACGGGAGGCGCGAACCTTTACCAAACGTATCGCTAATTATACGTTATTGCGCCTTTCAGCGATATTTTATTTTCGTATTAACATAACGGTGCTGGAAATTTGCTGCCTTGCGTCACCAAACTAATGGATTATTAATGCAGTTAACACTCGAGTTACGACGCTATTTGTTCTCGTCTCGTCAGAGCGAAGGCAGTTCTAACGCCTTCGGTGTAGCCTAATGTAAGTAAAGTGACCCCGATATGTATGTCCAAGATTGCTGAAAAAAAAAAAGGATAAACGCGCAAGATGCTGCTGGATTCGCGGGTAGTCAGACAATCTGTCGTTACATGTCGATGTCGCATCCATTCATGCGGTAATTTAGTGATTTCATGTCGCTCGTCGAAGTTAACCATGCCGCGCACGTAACCGATCAATATGTTCTTCTTGACTGCTAATTAATTTCTGTTAATTACCCGATCGCTGAAACACGCACGTGATCGGCTACATCACTGTAACGGCCGCTGTCGCTGATAGATATGCAATCCGTTCACCTTCCACTCGGCGCTGTAAATTTTTAGCCAAACGCACGGCGATAAAGATTGATCCAAATCGAGATGTCGAATATATCGTGAAATCGGATAGATAATTAGAAATACAGAGATTTCGTGTGTAGCTGAACAGTAAATTACTATACTACATTATTAAAATATCGTTTTTTTAATTAAAATATTAAAATATTAATAAAGATTTCTCGCGCGCGAATTTATTATGTTAGTAATACAGATATTAGTGCAGACACAGTTTTCGATTGCTTTCAGTTTCAATATCCGTGTATAATAAACAGCATGTAATTAGTAACGTAGGCCAGGAATATAATTTCTTCAGTTTGATTATTATATTAAGAAATAATAAAAAATAATTGGCGTCTAAAATCCTGCTCGTACAGTGCCATGATACAGATTAACCTTTTAAATAGTAATATTTTAAATAAGTATATATA